TCAAACATTCAATTGCAGGACCCTTGGCAATTTTTTTTTTGAATTTCAGTGACCTTTTTTTTCTGGATACTTAAACAATAATACCACTACTGGTGTTATAATGATTTATTTAGTGAACACATTCCAGTAACCTAAACATTCATGTTTTTTTGTATAAATCTTCCACCAACACCAAAGACAAAGGTCCCTGGTATAGCCTTAACAAACTGTTGGGGCAAGTGCAGTTAGCGAGCACCTATGAAGGGTGGGTAGCCATCACCTCTGAATATAGCACGGTTGGCTACGTACGGTGTGAAAGAAGTTCAACGAATGTACATTAATACCACGCCCAGCCGTCTTTAACTCCCCAGTGGTGATGTTTACACATCGCACGAGGTACTCTTTGCAAGCTGAATTGACTTAAGGGAGGCCCAGGACAGGTTCAGATAATCGTCACAGGTGTTGGCCGTGATGGGTAATCTAACTCGGGTCTCCGGGTTCGTAGCGCAGTGCGCTAACCGCTGCGCCACCGCTCCCCAACACCACCACCGCATATAGATAAGCGTATGTGTTTCAGAACCCCAGGCTATCCAAGGTCAGCACCATAGCCTTGTTGTAACACATTGGGAGCTGCACTTTAAATTCTTAGAACATTCTCAACAGTATTCCACACTGTTTAGCATTGCTTTAGCGAACCTGTCAATGATACCGTGTTTTTTGTTATGAAACATGAAGGTATGTAATCGAGCAGCTATTACTTCCAAAGCTGCACCGAAAAAATGCGGCGATTTTCTTTTTCTTTCACAAAATGAACGGTCCCGTGATAACCACACTTTTGGGCCCATTTTTTTTGCCAATCAATGAACATCCTTCCACAAGATACTTGAATACCAAAGGCAGAGTGCAATATTGCGCTCAAGAATGGAGCAGAATTTATCACACAAATGTATGCGCATTATTTATAGAAGGGGAATTTGAATTCCTCCGCAACTGGAAATCAGATTCGCTACACCGTAGCATCCTTGGACTTTTGGAAAATGACGTGTCAAGTAATGACAAATGAACTCTTTAAGGATTTGATTAGAAGCGGCAGGAAGATAACTTACGGCTGTTTCTCAAAACTGCCTCGTGCCCTTCAAAAGGCAGAGGCGACGCTCGCAAAAAAGCCGCCAAATAATACACGGCACTTTCAGCCGGGGCATTGTTCGTTAGACAAAAGCGGGGGCTCATATGCTCGTGTCGCGACGACGTGGCGAGCGAGAACGGGGGCAGCTTTGACAATGACGATGACGCCCTCGCCGTGGCTCGCGGCGGAAAGAAATAAAGGGGCGGAAAATCGGAACACTTCATGAAGTTCATTTGAACAAAAGAATCTCTGCGTCAGGGAAGCGGGGAGCGACGCGAGCGCTGATGAAGAGATGGGTGCTTCCGTGTGTTCTAAATTGCGAGGCAAGAAAGCTTCCTTCGTGAGCTACGTTATAATTATACTGGTAGGAACCTCCTGGTTCCACCAGCCCACAGGGGATTATTGTATCCGTCCGTTCGTCGTGCAGGGAGGGGCTGGGTGGGGAGGGAGGGGCTGGGTGGGAGGGTGGAGAGGGGCTGGGTGGGGAAGGTGAAATCTAATTTTAACACGTAGGCTTTCGCGACAAATTTTATGCCAAAGAGTTTTTTTTTGGGGTTAGATTGCGTACAAATTTGGCTGTAGCCTTATGAAGATATTTGTAATTACTAGCGAAACGTTGTACTCAGATTGTAAATGCTGTGGATTTGCTCTCCAACACATGGGTATGCTGTACTAGTAACGAATTGGCATGTTCTGTTTACATGACAAACCTTACTGATTAGCAGTGGCGGGTGGTGGCGGGTTTAACGACACATTTATATATTTACGTGATCTAACCTAAAAAAACCTGCATTATGGATATGTAATGTTGTATAAGTGAATGGCCACCACATGCATTTAGAATGACAATCAGGGGCATTGGTTTAGGACCATGAGGAACCCGTGATGAAGACTGCAGCATCTGTGTTGAACACCACCCCAGCAGTGACATTTTCTGGGAAAAAATAAAAAATAATTGTCGGAGGTGGAGCCTTCTGCTTCCGTTTGCACTCAGTCGGAGCGTCTTATTGCGACTTTCAAGCCGTGTCTGGAACCAGGTTCAGATGCAGGGCTGTACGTTTTAAGTGTGTGCGTGTGTGCGTGTGTCTGTGTGCTCGTGCAGTAGCGCAGTGGTCACCGCACTGCGCTACCGATTTGGAAACCGAAATTTGATTTCCTGGTCGAGGATAAAATCAAGAGGCGAGCAATTCTGAGAGCAGTTTAGGGACTTGAGTACGTGGTACGGGACGTGAACAACGCTACACAAGGTGCGAAAGAAGTTCATCGTAACTGCATACGTACACGTCAGAGCTGGAAAGGCAAAGGTGGCCAGGCTTGACGACCCCTAAGGCTGCCTCTTAGGCTGCACGGAGCGTGATTTACTCCGAAAATGCCAGCACATTATCCACTCTTCTCTCCTTTTGTGATTTTCGGAGGCAGTGTTTTTTTTCGAGCCGTCAAACAGCGTGGCGGGTTTGACCGGGGGAACCAAGAGGTGGCTGTGGCGACAGTCCGACTCTCTTGCCTCTGCGGGACAGCCGGATAATTCGACCGTGGGCCCTATTTTAAAACGATAAGGCAGCAAGGGATGGATACTGTTGTTTGCGATGAAAAAGAAAATATGAAATCTGTACTTCCTAAGAAAAAGTGCTGCGTTGCCAAAACTGACGTATTTTCACTATATTGTGTATTGTGTCCCTATTCATTTATTGCTTTATATCTATATGCTGCGGTATGGACAGAGACACGGCAATATATTATATTTCTTGGCCAGCTTTGCCAATTTTCCCCCGAAGGGTAGCAGAAAAAAAGGAAAAAGTATACCCAAGGCAGTGTTTGAGCTATTTCAGACAATAATCTATTTTGAAAAAATATATATACGAGCAAAAAAATAAGATAGATAGACAGATAGATAGATAACAATAATAACAACATTGAAAAAAAATCCCATAGCTCATCCGTACAAATGATGGGTGTTGCAGGATTGCTCGGGGAGCACCTATAAAGCTAAGCGTATGTTCCGCTGGAAAAATCATCTCTTGAAAACTGGCATGACAACAGCAATACATCCTGGCCATCTGAGCGACTATTAATCTGACAAATGCTAAACCAACCTTTATTTTTTATTTGGTTTATTACTTTAGTTTTATATATTTTTTTTATTTTTCTTATGGCTATTATGTTGCTTGAGGAATGGTGGAAATTGTGAGATGCGCGAAGCAGGGGATGGGAGGGTTGGGCGTGAGGGGGGGTTTAGGTGCAGGGGGGTGACAACGAAGGTTGGCTGGGTCAGATTGTGGAGGATTGAGCGGGGAGACAAATTCCCTTGGAAATTAAAAGGATGAATTGAAAATTGGATAAATTTAATATTTATCTTGATCCCTTATTTATAACCTGGTGGACAGCATACTGAGATGGCATGTGTCTTTTTCCTTTTTTAATATGGATCAAGCAAACTAAATATAAAAAAACTCGCCCGTAGGTGCATGAAAATACGTAACAAAAAAAACAATAACTGGGGAGATATTTTGCACATCCGACCAAGAATTTTGAGATAAAATAAGACGAGTTCAACAACGTGTCGTGGTACACAATCCTACGAAAATACAATTATCAGAAAGCAGTTGTTCAATACGTAACATATTATTGATCGCGAAAACAATCACGGACCAATGAAAAAAAAACTAAATAAAAAATATATGGCATAGAGCTTCATTATAGAATTGTGTTAAGAGGAGTGCTATATTCCTCTTTAAGAAATGAATCCAAAAGCATAATACAATAGATAATTAAAACGTACATAGACACCATTTCGCATTGCAAGTAATGCACAATGATGCATTATCGGAAACATTTACTGGAAATGGATCGTGGAAAAACCACAAATCACATTTTGTTCCTTGTTCACGAGATAAATGGCCAAGCATTATATCCATCAATGACCCTGAGCCCTTGATGTAAATTCCACGTTATCATGGGAAGGGCCCGGTCCTATAATGATTAGCCCCTGTTGATTTCCCACAAAGCAGTTCACGTATTACTGACCACATACATAGTATCACCTGATTCGCCTCCCCTGACATTGACTGGTGCCAGTAACCTTCGATCTGTGAGTCAAGCAATACTGAGGGCCAAAAATTTGCACCAGTGTCCTCTTAATTTTAGATTTGAAGCTTTCGTGACTGCAAGGATTCATACTCATAGTTTTTTCGGTAAAGTCACGTGACTTTACCGAAAAAACTATGAGTACCAATGTCCTCATTTGTTTTGCGTCGTTGTTTTGCCAACCTCAAGTCTTCATAACCAACCACGGGTGAATCTTTCCACACTTTGCATTCATGCGCAAGTCAAGCTGCTACACACTGCGCGCACCTGATAGGTGGTAATCACGGGAAGCAGCACCAAGGTCGAGGAGTCAGGCAGCTTCTGGAGCTTGAGAAACAGAGGATGACTAGCGCAAGGGTCATCCTTTGAGAACCGTAAAACCTCCACCACTGGGTGAGGATGGGGGGCATCATTTGAAATGACCTCTGGATGTGTCTTCAGTTCGTTCCTGAAGCCAGCCAGCACGTGGAGCGAAACGTCGGACATCGCGACAACAAACGACCCGCAAAATAACGTCGGAGCAGCCGTACGGCGCAACATATGAAAAAAAAAATACGTGCGCAGCGACGTTCAAAACGAGCGATAGGCCCCGTTGCTCATTCGCGCATCGCCTCCCGTCCTGTGGCGGCCTGTGACCGCACAACCTCGTGACCGCACAACCTTGTGACCGCACAAGCTCGCGCCGCCGTCTCTCGCTCAGAGGTCCGTGGGGCGTGCGTCCGAACCGCTGGTTACGGCTGACCGGTGACGCTCCCTCCAAGCGAGCGGCGCGAGAAAAAAAAAATAACGGAGGGCAGCTCTCGGGACTCACCGAGGACCGGCGCCGTCGTTCCGTCTGCGTGGACTTTTCCTCCGTCGCCGCGGCTCCCGGCTCCGCCATGCCGTCTGGCCCCGCCACGCCGTCCGGCCTCAGACGAGCCTGGGGGTTGGGAGACAGCGGCGGCAGAGATAAGGCGCGCGCGCGCTTGCGCTGGGGTCGTGGCGCGGGAGAGCCGTCTCCCCCTTAATAGGATCTAGTTGTCGTAATAATATTATTCGGATGAATGCTGTCGCTGTGGTGGGATGGCTCGCACACCGAACTTCCCCTCCAGGGGGTCGCCGGTTCGATTCGATCGCCGAGCGCCGGAGTTGAAACGACGGTGCGAGTTTCTCGAAACCACCTCCCGCCGCCTCTGTCCACCCAGAGGTATGAACGGGGTTTGTCGATCGGCAGGTCGCAACGGGCGCCCGGGGTAAAGTGCCAAACCCTTCAAAAAAAGTCTTTCCAGTGTGGAAGAGTAGGAAAAAAATACCCTCGAGAGGGGCTCTGTAAAGCGCCATCTCGTGAGGATCCATTGCCAGCAGTGGCGTATGAAGAAGGAATTACAGAGGGGGAGTGGTGGAGCAGTGGTTCGCGTGCCCGCATATGATCCTTGGTGACCTGAGCTCGATTCCCGGACATGGCTGGCATCAGTAGTGAGCGATATCTGTCCTGGTCCAGGGCCTCCTTACCATTCATTATTTGGCGATCGTGCGTTAGACGTGGTACACAAGCACATTGGACAACAACAACAACAAAACAACTCGACCAAATCAACAATAACACTGTGAACGTAAAGGGGAAAAATATAATAAGCAACGTTTCGGGCAACTGCCCTTCATCAGAGCACACACCTAGAGAAGCCAGAGGGCTAGAGCGTATATGAGCTGCAGACTGCGTACTTGACACGATGGGCTCTGATAAGAATAGAATTTTAAATATGGGATTCCGATGAGCATCGTTTTTTTTTTATTGGCATATGAACAGCTTCACGAATAGTAGCTATTGAGCGTCCCACCGAAACTGATCTTGTACGAAGCACAAGCCGACATACACACATGACCGGACGCACAGAATGGAGGGAAGGGAGGTGGCCTTTGTCCACCAGTAGGTTTACAAAGGGGCTGGAAAGAGTTTGGTTAATTTGATTTTGTTACACGTACGATCGCCTTTAGCCAGTTGCCTGGCTATCTTACAAGGGAGTTCCACGGGTGTTGTGTGAGCACAGCAGCAGCAGCACAAAAAAAGGTTAAAAAAACATCGACATTGCAGGAGGGTGCTGAAGAAAATATTGCACAACTCAAAAAGCTATAGGGAATTTAACGGGTCGTAAAACCGGATCATCGGGGGAAAAAACAGACGGTGCAACATAGTGCGACAGCGAAATGGTGGCGGAAAAAAAGTTAGGTACGGTTGGAAGTAAGCTCTATGTTTTGGTTTAACAGAGACGTAAAGTTACACAGGCATTAAATGTTATGCTATATTCAAGAACATATGTTTCAGCCATCCTTAAACAGCTATATAATGATGATTAACCGTGGGGATACATCTTTGTTTTGGTTTATACCACTCACAAGAGATTTGGTGAATTGTCACGATTTAGGATTGTGGAAAATGCACGACGGAATTTGGCGTGAATGTGCAGGCACGCTCATGAAATTTTACAAAAAATGTACAACAAAAATCCCTAAACGAATTTGTCCTGACTTATTTCAAGGCCACAGTGTTCTTGACGAACGTGTTCAGTTTGTGCTGTTAATCACCAGATAATTAGTTTAATTATGAACCGTAATGACGCTTCGATACGTCCAACACAGACACAAGCACAGATACACAAAACGCATTGCCTTCAGTTATCAATACGTCATGAAATTCACTCTTTTAATGAGGCCACTATATTTTAAGACATATATACATGACTGTAAATGTTGAAATCGTATATTCTCTTAACAACGTTTTAGACCAATGCTCCTATAAATACATTGCACAGTTTGCTGAATCTTTGTTCGATGTACGTGCGCAGTGAAGTCAGCTCACACCAACTATAAAATCAGCTATTGTGAACAACCTGGACAGGCAGGAAGAAATAAACATTGAGAGTGTGAGATATTGTATTTTTTTTCTTTCATATTAAAAACAAATAACAATGTATGTTATAGGGTAAGGCACATGATATTGGGTAGGCATGTGTATGACTTTATTTCATGGTAATTTTTTTGCCAACCCTTTCCCCTTAGGGGCCTGACGGGAAGGCTGTTGTATAATCAGATTCTCCAAGGTCTCTTGCTGCAAATATTGCCAGTTTTCTACCATGTGCACGTTTGTCGGCACGCACTGCATATAGAGAATATCATCCACGTTAATACGATCCCAGACACTATGCTCGCTATGAAAGTGACCCAGTCTATGAGCATTGAGAAATATTGATGAGCCCTAGGAATCTTTGGATTTAAAGCTTTCGTGACTGCAGGGATTCATCTTCTTGGTTCTTTCGGTAAAGTCACGTAGAATGGAAATAATGAAAATAATAAAAATAAAACATAATAAAATAATTCTCACGACGTTTCGGCCACAACGCAAGCAGCCGTCCTCAGGTGAAGAACAGGTCTGTCGAGAAGACAGAGTCTGAATGACACACCCCAGGCTTGGAGCGACTATTTAAGCTGGGATGGAGGGGGGGAAGAGCGCCTTGACAAAATAATTTGTGGCCGAAACGTCGTGAGAATTATTTTATTATGTTTAATTTTTATCATTTTATTATTTCCATTCTACGTGACTTTACCGAAAGAACCAAGAGGATGAAGCCCTAGGAATCGTGAAGGTATACGCCTGGCCGTCTGTGCCCCTTTGGGTTCAAACATCATCAACTTCAACAACCATGATCAATCCACTGCTGAAAGAGGACCTCCCCTCCCCACCCTTCTCATCTCTCATTGAGTCGTGATGCAAAAATCCATCTATCACGTGCGCATCGTGAGTTGATTTCGTAACTCCATCTCCGTTGTGGACGTGAATCCTTGGGCGCTTTCCCTTCTTCGGAAGGGGAAAAGACGTTAACCGTTTGTTCTTTGTGTGTTTGATGAACTTCTTTCGCACCATATGTAGCCAACCGCACTAATCGGAGGTGCTGGGTTCAATTGGTGCGTTTATCTTCAATCGCGCAATAACTGCTCACGTCTAAAGATTCACTCGTGGTGGGATTGTGATAGAATACATGAAGCGATACAAATGAAAGTTGAATAATAATGACATCATCGGGCAGAAGGTTGCTGATGTCACGTGAGGTTCGGCGTCACAACTCCCCTGTGCGGATCTGGTAACATACAGAACTTATTAAAATAGATACTTCACATTATCTGAGCCATTTATGAAATGCATTCAAGAGGGCAGCTTCAGAGCATAGGGCATAGAAAAAACCCCCGCTGAAAACAATAACATAGCAAGTGCCGTCCACTGCAAAGAAATAAACAAACGCATAAATAACCGGTCAGAGAAATGCATTGGAGATAAAATGACTTTGCTCGCGCAAAATTCCCCCTGAATTTTTTCCCTGTGCTCTTATGCTCAACGGGACATGTGGATATCTTTATGGTATTCTGGCGTGAAGCATTCAACTCTGGCTTTGGTTTTCATCAAAATGTTTTCCCCAGATGCACAGAGCAAGTCCAGGTGGTCTTATTCCTCTCCTTCTTATTCTGTGTGGTCTGTGTTTGTGTCAGGTCAAAAAAAAATGACCCCTGCGCCACGGATAGTTTTTTTTTCCCTTTCTAATAAATAACGCGTGGTCTTTTTTTTTTCTACAAACTTTCTTCACGAAGCGCTGTCGGTGGGCACGTGATCGGACAAAAGAATCATTCTAAAATCTCCCCGTGGGCGGGTCCAACGATGGCTGCGCAAGAGAATTTGAGAGAAGTTCTTCCGAGAAAAATCCTTCAAGTGACCTTTCAATGCTTACCTAAGGCAGGGAGTGTACACTTTTGCCAAACACGTTGTTACGAGATTTCCGTTTGCCCCATTAGAGTAAGACTATTCTGTTCTCAGAGTTGGAATTTAGCCAAATTAATCAATAACGTTTTTTAAAATTGTATTTTCATACAATGGTTATTTTTGTTGGGGCGTCATTGATGACCGGGCTGTGACCCACTACTCGCTACGCTGCGGAATCCAGTTTAATCACAGGCCTGGATTCAAACCAGGATACCTCAGCAGTCCTGTCTCAGTGCCCCAACCTCTGAGCCATCTGGCCACCTCCGTGCTTTGCAATCAGAATTTTTGTTATTTATTCCATCCTGGAGAAATCCGATGAACTACGAAGATCTTCTTTATTTTTCCAACAGACATCCGCGTAACGAAACAGTCGACGTACATCTACATTCGAAGCCGCGAAGCCGGGAAGCCATTCCGCACGGTTCCAAACATCGCCGACGTAAATGCCCGAGAGGTCATTCCAGCGCCTCGGAGTGAAGTGGAGAGCATAATCGTGCCTGCGACGTTCCATGCCGCGGCAGGTCACGACGGTGCAAATGGCGCCCGGCTCCTCGTTCATTCGCGACGAATGAACGAACGGCCTCCAAACGGGAGGAGGGGGCGGGGGGCAGGGGGGGAGAAATAATGAAACGATCCCATAACGTGTAATTGCATTAGCTTCAACAAGGTCTTCACCGCAGTGGACGCGGAAAATTTGCAAGCCTCCAACTTCAGGGTGCCCCCCCCCCCAACCCCCCACACACAACAGCGATGGACTTTTAAACTCGGGACGATGATTGCCGGTAGGGGCTTTCCACGCATACACTACAGCATGGATACTGTGCAGGAGACTAGAGGCATGGACACTGTGCAGGAGTCTAGAGCAATGGATATGTGATCTCTCTGAATATTGGCCTTAGTAACCCAGAATGTCTGGAGCGGGAATGGGATGTTGGTGGCACTGTGGTCTTCATTGGGGGGGGGGGGGGGGTACCGCCGCATGAAAAGTGTTTTGAGCCACCGATGTAGAATAATCGACCACTTTAAAATAATCGGATAATCGGATATCCTACCTCAGTTCATAATAAACGTTTTTAGGTTAGATCGCGTTATTTATAAATGTGTCGTAACCCTCCACCACCCGACACGGCCAA